TATATATAATATTTTTCCTATATTTCATATCTATGATAAAGTTTAATTTTGAAAATAGTTATAGTAAGATATTAACAACAATAACTAATAAAATAGAACAATTTAACAATACACTATAATAAAAGTTATGGCAACATGGTCTCTATTCATGTCTTCCATGCAAAATTTAATGCCTTTTCCATCTTAACATAGTACATCATGTACTGTGGCTATAAATTTTATAGTTTGAGGTGCTATAGCAAAACTAACATGAATTTCATTTTCCTTCACAATTTCACGGATGAAAATTCATTCTTACTAGATTTTAGCAGCCTCAGTATACAATTGTTTATTAAGTCAAGAACTTTTACCTTTTCACTTAAAGGAAGCACTTTACGGCTTCTCTTTGGTATATCTGAATTGCGAACATCATTATTGCTCTTTGGGACCATTAAGTAAAATAAGGGTTACTTGAACACAAGTAACTGTTTGTAAACTGTTTGTTCGACTTCTGTTCCATTTTTTTTCTATTGATTCTTGACCTTTCTTCATTTTTAGATGATATAAATTAATGCTATCTAACCCTTTGTGATATAGTAGTAAGTTGCTACCTCCCACCCCCATCCCCAAAGACAAGTTTATTACTCATCTTTAAACTTTACTCTGAGCTTTGCTTTGAACTTTGCATACCACCTTACTCTGAGGTATAGGAGTTTGGGAAGAACTGGCGGGTAGAGAATTGGGTAATAAGAGTCACAGTAGTTTTTATGGAGATCAGAGACTTGATCATAATGGATAAGAGGGAGGTTGGATTTCCAGTGGTAATTAATGTAAACAGGAATATAAGGTGGAATGGATTTAGTCCATATCATTGTTAATGGGTGTTGGTGATTTTTTTTTTGGTTACAATTTGTTAAGTAGAACCTCAGGATGTCATCAGATGGTGAGCCAAGGTTCAATAAAAGACTGAAGGGGAAGTGAAATAGAGAAGTTTATTACTGACAGGTCCCGGAGGAGGTACACAGTATTCCTCGAGGATACACATGGAGAAGCCAATGCAGGGGTGCACAGAGAGTGAGCAGCAGGACCTGGGCAGATGCCTTTATTAGGGTCTGTGGGTGGAGTGCTTTGGGGTTCCTAGGCTAAGCCTGGATTGGTCAGTTCAAACCAAAAAGAGTGGGTTTTTTATAATCTCTAATGGGGATGGGGTCTTATCTAAGGGGAACTAAAGGGGAGGGAGCTGGGAGGCAGGGGATACTTTATCACGAGGGGTTTTGGGGGAGTCGTATCAATCACATGTATATATTTACTTGTGATTCTTGAGGGCTATTATCTAGGGCATGTACTTGCTAGAGGAGCTACTGTCAGTTCAAGAGCCCTTCGGGCCAGTTACCAAGGCAGCAATATTATGGAATAGTTTAAATTCTCAACAAGGGTTGGGGAGCTTGGGCAGACTTAAGGTTCTAAAGATGTAATGTGATAAATTTGTGGTTCAGGAGCTTTAAGCAACTTAGCACCACCTGTTACAGTGTGCCTCTGATGTCAATTGCTTGGTGGCTCCTTTAGTGGACCTCAGTGGACGGGCTGCTCAGGAGGGAGTAGTTCACATCGGGCTGATAGAGATTTCTGCTATGGCTTTACAGTGTCAGACTATCATCAGAATGGCCCATTTTTTTTTTATTCAATTGGGTTTTTCTATTACAAAGAACTATAACTCTGCCTTTCTATAGAATATGTGTTTAATGAATGTTAACATAAATATTGGTTGTTTTTGTTCTTATTTCAGGCTACAGACAAGAGAAAAGCTTTAGAAGAGACCAAAGCCTATACAACCCAATCCCTAGCTAGTGTTGCTTATCAAATAAATGCATTGGCCAACAATGTACTCCAATTGCTGGACATCCAAGCCTCTCAGCTTCGGAGAATGGAGTCTTCCATCAATCATATCTCACAGGTAACATCTTATAAATAAACTTTAAGCAACCGGCAGCATATGTCAAAGGAGTAGATAGCCTGGATATATGGATTCCTTACTCATTTTCTTACCTGCTAACTATAGTTATTATCACTTTCAGTTTTAGCTTTGAGGTCAGTAAACCAACTCTTCTTTTTTAAAAGTTTTTGTTTGTGTGGTAAAATATACACAACATAAAATTTATCATTTCAACCATTTTTAAGTGTATACTTCATCAGCATTAGGTATATTCACATTGTTGGGCAACCATCACCACTTACCCTATTTCTCTTATAAGATCTTTCTTGAAGTAAAATAAATTGCACACAATTAAAGCATAGTTTTATAAAATTTGATACATACATTATCCATGAGACCATCAGTACATTCAAGATAATGAACATCCTCCCCAAATTTCTTCATACTCCTTTGTTATCCCTCTTCATTTTCTATACCCTGTCCTCACGCTTTCTGTCACAGTTTACATTTTCTGAAATTTTATATAAATGAAATCAAATATTATATACTATTTGTTTGTCAGGCTACTTTCAATCAGCATAATTATTTTGAGATTCATTCATGTTGTATATAAAAATAGTTCACTCCTTTGTATTGCTGAGTACAATTCCATTGTTCCACATTTTGTTTATCCATTTATGGTTCTTTTTTATTTTGGAATATATATTTTATTTTTATTTTTTTAAAATTTGTGCTTGTGCCATGCACTTTTTTTTTTTTTTTGCTCTTTCAAATCATTTTAATAACGTGGCAGCCAAAATACGAAAAGCAGACTCAAACTTGTTTTTTTTTAAGGGGGGGTGCTACCATGATTGCTTCACACAAGCATGATCTAAGGTAATGATGACACCGATTCCAAAGAGCAAGGGTGGTAAGAAGGCCTCAAGGCTCACAGACTGAAAAGCTTGGTTTTGGAAAACTCTCAGAGGGGTTGCAGGTGGCAGGAGAGACATGAAATTTAAGGGACCTTCACAGTACAGGGCGCGGCTGCTGGGTCATCAGCACCTTGAAACGTTTCTTGATCGGTGTCGAGAGTATTTGTCGTCTGGGGAGAACCAAGCAGGATGGGCCGAGCAGGTCTGTTGTCCAATAGGATCAAACTTCTTCAGGGTATAAACCCGGTCTCCCTGTTCATTGAGGTAATACTGGAGAAACATGATCTCGCTAAAGCAGGAGGTCCCAATTCCGTCTGCACTTCTTGGTCTCCTGAGGGCCTCACGTGGTCGCCTGCCATGCACTTTTTAAAAAATATATATTTTTATTGATTTCAGAGAGGGAGAGATAAAAACATCAATGATGAGAGAGAATCATTGATCGGCTGCCTGCTGCACGCCCCCCACTGGGGATCGAGCCCACAACCCAGGCATGTGTACCTGACCTGAATCGCACCTAGGACCCTGCAATCCCGGGCATGTGCCCTTGACTAGAATTGAATCCGGGACCCTTCAGTCCGCAGGCTGAAGCTCTAGCCACTGAGCCAAACTGGCTAGGGCCGGAATATATTTTTATTGACTTCAGCGAGGAACATCAATAATGAGAGAAAATTATAGATTGGCTGCCTCCTACAAGCCCCCTACTGCTAGGGATGGCCCACCACTGGGGCCTGTGCCCTGATTGGGAATTGAACAATGACCTCCTGGTTCATAGGTCGATGCTTAACCACTGAGCAACCCAGGCCGCGCTATCTGTTTACATGTTGATGGACATCTGGATTGTTTTCAGGTTTTGCCTATTACAAATAAAACTGAATATGTGTACAAGTCTTTATATGGCCATGTGTTTTTATTTCTCTTGGGTAAATTAGCTTCCTCTGAGTGGAATGGCTAGGTCACATGGTAGATGCCTGTTTAACATTATAACCAGATTTATAGCCAAATTGTTTTCCAAAATGATTATACCATTTTACCTTCCCATCAACACTAATGAGAGTTTTAATTGCTTCACATTCTCACCAGTGCTTGCTGTGGTCAATTTTTAAAATTTTAGCCATTCCAATAGTTATGTAGTAGTGTCTTATTGTAGTTTTAATCTCCCTTTCCCTAGTGATTAATGATGTCGAATATCTTTTCATGTGGTTTCTGTAGATTTCAATATTTAAGCCTTGCATTTCTTTGTCAGATATATTCCAAAGTATATCATATTTGTCACGCTATTTGGTATTTATTTTAAATCTTAACTTGATTTTTTTCTTGCTTATATATACAGAAATACAGTTGATATTGATAAACTTTGTGTGCTTGTTAAAGTCACTTAATAGTTATAGTATTTATTATATAGATTCCATTGGATTTTCTACATAGAATATCATGTTTATAAATAAAAAGTTTTACTTTTTTCCATTTTCTATTTTTCTCGCTTTTTACTTTTATTTATTTTTGTCTTACTGCACTAGTTTGAAGCTTCAAGACCATGTTGAAATAGGAGTAGTGAAAGTGGTCATTGTTACCTTGTTGCTATTTTAGTAGAAAGCAGTCTTTTACTATAAGTATGATTGTAGTCTATATGTTTTTCAGAAATATGCTGTATGAAGTTGTTTTCTAGTGCTAGTTTGCTGAGAGTTCTTGTAAAAAATGGGTAATGGATTTTATAAAAAACTTTTTATTTGTCTGTTGAAATGATCATGTATATATTTTTTGGTCTGTTAATATGGTGAATTACATTTTTTTTCTTTTAAATGTTAAACTGCCCTTGCTTTCCTGGGATAAACTACTTGATTGTGATGTATTATCCATTTTATAGATTTTTAGACTTATTTTGCTAAAATTTTGTTAAAAAATTTGTTTCTATGCTCCTGAGAGTCTGTAGTTTTCTTGTTATATCTGGATTTGGTGTCAGTATAAATGTGGTCTTACAGAATATATTGGACAATATTCCTTTATCTTCAATTTTATGGGAAAAAAAAAGTGTAGAATTGATATTTGTTCTTCTTTAAACGTTTGGCAGAATTTACCAGTGAAGCCATCTGGAGCTGGAGTTTTCTTGGTAGGGAGGTTTTTAACTATATATTTAATTACTTTAATAGTTATAAGGCTCTTCTGTTTATCTGTTTCATATTGATTGATCTTTGTATTTTTCCAAGATTATTTGGCCATTTCTCCTAAGTTGTCATTTATTTGCAAAAAGCGGTTAATAATATTCTCTTCTCCTTTTAAAAACTGTAGAAGCTGTAGTGATGTTACAAGACTAATTATAAAATTTTTTTTTTTTTATCCTCACCCAAAGATATTTTTCCGTTGATTTCTTGGAGTGGAAGAGAGAGGGAAAGACAGAGAAATACTGATGTGAGAGAAACACATTGATTAGTTGCCTCTTGCGCGTGCCCTGTCAGAGCCAGGCTGGGGAGGATCCTGCAGCTGAAGTATGTACCCTTGACTGGAATTGAACCTGGGACCTTTTGATCTGCAGGCCAACCCTCTATCCACCGAGCCAAACTGGCTAGGGCTCATTACTAATTTTTGATCTTGGTAATTGGTGTCCTCTCTCTCTCTCTTTGTTCTTTAATCTTTACTTGTGGATATTTTTCCCATTGCTTTTCAGAGAGAGTAGAAGGGAGGGAAGGTTGGGGTGGAAGAGAGAAAGCAATTGACAGATTGGTTCTTGTCATCTTTATGATATGGATTAAAATTGTATTTTTAAAGAATATTATAAAGTTGTATAATATTCTTTTTTATTGAATTTATTGGGGGTGACATTGGTTAATACAATTATATAGGTTTCAGGTGTACAATTATATAATACATTATCTGTATATTGTATTATATGTTTACCACCCAAGTCAAGTCTCCTTCCATTACCATTTATCCCCCCTTTATTCTCTTTGTATAACATTCTTAAAATCATAGGGAGAATGTAAAAAATTTTCTGAGTTTCCTGCCAAAATCCTATTATGGAATGGTATTTCTTACCTTCAACTTTGCTATGTTAAGACTGATATGCCACCTAAATAGTTGCTAACTTTTCTCTATTTTTCTTGTGAATATGAAGGCCCTCTAAATCAAATGATTTAAGGCAAATTTCCTTACCTCCTTTAATGAAACCTTTTGCTTTTATTATAGTTATTAAAAAGATAAGTTATTGCCCTAACCCAGTGGTCGGCAAACTGCGGCTTGCGAGCCATATGCGGCTCTTTGGCCCCTCGAGTGTGGCTCTTCCACAAAATACCACATGCGGGCGCGCATGTATAGTGTGATTGAAACTTTGTGGCCCATGCACAGAAGTTGGTATTTTGTGGAAGAGCCACACTC